AGGAAAACTTGAAATCGCATCATATGACCCCTTTAAAAAAATTAAGTTGTCTTTTATTGGTATATCCTCTATATTTTATTTTTTTTTAAATTAAAAAAAAAAAATCACTGAAAAACTCAATCAAAAGACAAGAATAAGAAATTATATTTCTGCATGAAAATCAAGCCAATTTTTTTTTTTTATTAAACACATTTTTTCCATTTGCATATGTAAATGATAATAGCTAAACACGGTCCTAAAATGGGCTTAAAATGTTCTTTATTCTGATATTAAGGTGGAATATGACCCAGACATGTTTTGTGAGATTCACCCAAGTATGATATGAAACAAAATAGGATCCAAGGTCAAATCTTGGCCATTTCTTGGGCTTTTGCTCAGAAAGGAAATCAGTTAAAGGTTATTAATAACAAAGATTTATACTGGGTAAACAAAACAGTACACAAGATGTGCTAGACATACAGACAAACATTTCACTCTGTGTCAGGATTTAGTCTAGGTGGGCCGGGATGGGGTGCAGTGGGGCAGCACAGGGCAGATTACATGGGCAGAAAAGCGCTAAATAGTCTAGTTAACTGAGGGACAGAAAAGACAGAAGAGTAATGAGTGGACAAAGACATGCGTGTTTGTGTGAGAGGACCGATTCAGATTCTGAGGGGTGTCGGGGACGTGTCAGGTGCTCTCGCACAGACCGCCATCAGGGCTCTAGAAGGAGAACAGGAGCGTTTTGTGTGAAATAAACAACCAAAACCTACCAACAGAGGTGGGCATCTCTCCCCACTGGAGCACCACGTCTTTAGTGATTCTGCCGTATGTGTTCACATAGACTCCCTCATCTTCATAACACAGAAGCATCTCCATGCCGTCGGTCTTGGGAAGCACCACAATGGCGTGAGGGGTAACACTGCCCTGAATCTGGGAAGGGAGGGGTGGGCGCAGATGAGCCTTGGGGTGACAAAAACGAGCCGTAGTGCAAAACATTCCCCACTAGGTGACGCTCTCCCCCCTCCCCCGGGCGGCCCTGTCAGTCATGTCTCGTGCTGTGGGTGGCCAGAGCTTCTCCCTTCGAGAAACTGCTGCAACAATCGAGACTCCTGCCCTCCGCTTAACCACACGATGCCTGAGCCCAAAAGCGCCCTGCTAACGGGCTACCATGGGGCATTGGAACGGTTTGGCTGCTTTGGTTCGTGTACGTGTTTGGTTTGTCAAAGGTCGGAGATCGGGGACATGTTTTCTTCTTACAGTAGAGATACTTTTCTATCACACTTGAACAATAATGTCAGTTACGTGCAGCGTAATGAACTTCAAAACCATTCATCTGCACACAGAACATTCATACGTGTTGCTCTAAACTGTGTAATCAGGGTCCAAAATTAACTTTCTGGGTTTTTTTTTTAAGACCATGAAACTGCATTTTGAATTGTTTTTATTACTAATATATATATTCATTATTATTAACTACATTTATTTATTCTTATTTATATTTAAAATAAATATTGTATAAAGAAAAACAGCTATTGTCATTGTGGCAGCATCGTATACAAAAGCACATCATGTTTGAGTTTTCCTACACAACACTTTAAAAGTTTGGAATCATACGATTTTTTTTTTTTTTTTTTTTGAAAGAAGTCAGCAAATTCAGTAAAAACAGTAATATTGTGATTCCTGAAGTAATTGTTGCTAAAAGTTCAGCTTTGCAACCACAGCAAGTAATTACATTTTAAATATATGAAAATAGAAACCAAAATTGTAATAATATTTCACATTACGTTTTTACATTTTTTTATCAAATAAATGCAGCCTTGGTGAGCATAAGCGACATTCATTTCATTATTCCAAACTATTGACCAGTAATGTATATTTTAGACATATATTTTACTTTCTGGATAAATGCACAAAACGATACCTTCAAAGTACTTTATTAAGCTAATAAAAAGTTAATAAGATACATTTATTATAATAAATTATGCTTAGAAACTGTTATTAAAAGACAATTGTTCTGACTATATATGCGTGTATGTATAAATAAATAACTAATTAACTATACACACACACATACATACAGTCCTTAAAAAGTTACCACCCAAATGGGAAGCATTTTATTTTACTCATCAAAGCCAGGTTTTACTTGCATTTGGTGTTAGTGTTAAATTTGGACCCTGTCTGTAATTAAAAGGCACATATGTGATACAGACATCAACACTACTATGCATCCCAGTGTCCCCGTAGAGGAGTTGTCCTATTTAAAGTCCCTTAGGATCAGGGTAAGGAGGGGAGAGCTGCCTCCACTCGGCCTGTCATCACTTACGTGGGACGGAATGTAGATATCGTACGGATTCCCAGAGTCGACATCTATCACGTGAAAACCAACGCTGGAGCCATAGATAACCTTTAACCTCTGACCCTCCTCCACCGTCAGGTCCACAAGCAGAGGCCTGTGCTGAAGATCTGTGAAAGACTTTAGAGAGACAGAAGAAGAGACACTGAAAGCATGATATATTCCCAAAGAAATATGCTCTGTGCAGGTGTTCTCCTACACACTCACAGCACTACTCACAAGTACCAAAATAGCTACTTAATTTGCACATTTTGTGCTCTGCCCTGCCAAGTTGAGTACTAAGGCCTATTTTCTCATGAAGTAATACAGTTTATTTAAAATGAACACACAAATGCTCTTTTTTTTTTAAAGGGGGTCTCCCTGGACCAAATATCTGTCTCACCTTGAAAGCCATGAATTTGTGGTAGGGTTTGGGAGCCCAGGCATAAATCTCCACTGAATTCTTCAATGCAATCACCAAGAACTTAATCCTCTCATATTTGACTGTTAAATAACAAATACAGGTAAAAATATTATTAGTATTTAAGAAACCACATTCTCGGTATCTCTCTCTAAATAGATATAGATATATGTTATATATAATTAAAATATAAAAAAAAAAGTAAAATAGCTAGATATACATACATTGTACAAATATGGTTATATATGACATTTATTTGATATTCAACTGTTTACAATTTTTTTACTTTATTAATAAGTAAATGAAACCCATTAGTCACTATATATTTTGATATTTTGTCTGTAGTTAATTAGGCATTAAAACAATTATTTGCCCAAATAGACCAAAGCACATACCGACTTTATAATGGACACAACCCTCCAGGTCACCAACTGTAATCCACCCTTGTTTTTTTTCTACCTCAGGGTCATTGTGAAGTATCCTGTTTCTAAGCCATGACAGATAGTAGACCCTCAGTTTATTCTTTTTTCCTGCATAAAAGAAGAGGACGCATGAACCACTCGTTACAAACAGATAATACACAAATCTAACAACATAAAACAGATCTTTGTACAGACAACTAGAGAGCTGATGATGAACTCACCTGATATGGTGACCAGGACATTGAGTCCCTCCAGAACTTCCATCTGCTGAAAGCGCCTGCGGTTGATCAGATTGTAGACTTTGCCCTGACCACTGCGATCTAGTAGCATGAGTCCATTTTCTGTTCCTACCAACAGATTCACTCCTACGGCAAACAAACAATGTAAAAACGATTTGTAGATTATAATATGGATCTGAAGTGATATGAAGGCATTTATGCTACTTTCATTTAGGAATATTCTAACAGCTGTTGAGTACAAAGTCGGAAAAAGGTCTGTAAACAAGCTTGAGTTTAGACTCACCCCATAGTGCCGCACACAGGATCTCAGAGTTGAAGCGCTTCTTGTACTTGCGGATTTCTGGTGTGTCACTGTGTGGCCGGATATTGGTGGGATTGACATTCACAACAGATATTTTCCTAGCCTCATTTAGTCGAGCTTGTTCCTGCTCCTGCCGTAGGAGTTCATCTGCAAAATGGGCTGCATGACCAAACAAAAAGTCAAAATCATTCTTTTCAGTACATCATATCAAGCAGGCTAAATGTTAGCAGCATCCTTTTCCACCAACAAAGTGTCAATGCCAAAGTCAGTGCCCAATCTGGCCCCACTCTGAGCATTTCCACTGAGGAAAAAGGCACTGGCTCTATTTCAATGGACAAGGTGGATAAGAGGTAAATTAGTCACCTGAGGCAGGGTTGTCCTCGTCGTCCTCTGTGGGGGAGGTCTGATACACTCGTGGGTCCACAAAAGGAGTGAAGGAGGCTTTGGATCCGCTCCCCATCCCAAACTGCCAATGTGGAGAATCGGGATGTGAGAAACAAGCATCTACGTACCATACAAATGGTCTCTTCTAATGACTGATTGTAGGCAGCAAATGCAAGCATTTCTAGTATGAACTAAGTGCAACGTGCAGAGTTTTGTCTGCAGTTAGAACAGTCCAGGAAAAGCAAGCACTGCAAAAGTCTTTTTTGCAATCAGTATATTGTCTTGTTTTCCAGTATATATATATATATATATATATATATATATATATATATATACACACAGTATATATGCATGAAAATATTTTCTTACAAATTTATTTTAAAATGTACACTACCGTTCAAAGTTTGGGGTCTGTAAAATTTATTTTTTGAAATAAAACATTTAATTGATTAAAAGTTACTGTAAATACTAGTGATGTAACGATACATGTATTCGTATTGAACCGTTCGGTACGAGGCTTTCGGTTCGGTACGCATTACAAACCGAACGATTCGTTGAAGTAATCCTATTAACCTGGTACTCCAGGTTGTGACATTGAGGTAGTTCGTTAGATTTTTCCCTCTTTTCCTCGCTTTTAAATAGCTTGTAAATGCTTGTGCGTATTTTACTTTCACTTTCGAACTAGCGGCATTTCAGCGTCAATTATTTGAATTGACAACAACAAAACAGTACGACAAACTCATAGAATGTTTAATTTATTAACAAAATGAATACAAATACACCATGCTATAGGTCTAATATAAAATAACAAATAACTTGCACAGTTTAAATATAAAACACTGAAAATCAACAAACACGGTGGAACCAAATAAATAAGATACAAATGTTAAAAAAAGCTTCCAAAATCATCTTAGATAAACGGCAAAAGTCAAAAGGCCTTCCAAAATCTAAAATATTTTTAAGATCATATGATACTCGTTTTAATACATTTTTTTTTTTTAAATCAAGGAAAAATCAAGGAAATTTGTCTGGCATTTCTTTGTTTTTGCTGTATCGAAAAAATACTGAACCGTGACACCCCTGTGTCGTATCGAACCGAACCGTGAATTTTGTGAACCGTTACACCCCTAGTAAATACATTTACAATGTTACAAAAGCGGTTCTTTTGTACTTTCTATTCAAAGAATCCTGAAAAAAGTAAAACTGTTTCCACATAAATAAGAAACACAACGTGTTCAATATTAATAATAATAAGAAATGTTTCTTGAGCACCAACTCGTCATATTAGAATGATTTCTATCACAGGAATAAATTACATTTTAAAATATTAACATGGAAAATAGTTATTTAAAATTGTAATATTTCACATTATTAATGCTTTTACTGTATTTTTTATCAGATTTGTTGAGCATAAGATTTTAAAAAAATTACTGACCCTTAACTTTTAAATGGATACATTGCACAATTTGTTTTTAATGAATTCATCTCGTTTTCTTTAACTTTTATTTGTATTATTTTTTTGCAGTCGGAGCACAAAATCAGGGCACTTACAAGAAGGGGAAAATGGGGCAATGGGAAGAAAGCATATTATAATTAAATAAAAGGTCTGCTGATTAAATCGATTAAAGTTAATATTCTTAAATAGTTAAAGAATTAAATAACCTTAAAAAAGCTAAATAATTGCAGGGCCCTTCTTTTACCCCTAAATGTAACATTACTCCTAAACAAAACACAGAACCTAAGAACCAAAAACCTAAGACACATGCTGCCTAGGTAACAGTGAGAACTCTGAAACGGTGTCAAGGATTACTGACAATGTGAACGAATGTGACAAATTGGTGCGATGGAGAAATGTGCAGCTAATGATGGTGACTGACACGGCGTCTGAAGCTGTGAAAGAGAGCGAAAGACAGAAAGATTGGAAGGGAGTTAAGGAATGAAAGACGGCGTGAAATATTGATGAGAGAACGATTGAAGACGAGAGGGCGTGGATTAAATAAAAGGTCTGCTGATTAAATCGATTAAAGTTAATATTCTTAAATAGTTAAAGAATTAAATAACCTTAAAAAAGCTAAATAATTGCAGGGCCCTTCTTTTACCCCTAAATGTAACATTACTCCTAAACAAAACACAGAACCTAAGAACCAAAAACCTAAGACACATGTTGCCTAGGTAACAGTGAAAACTCTGAAACGGTGTCAAGGATTAATGTGAACGAATGTGACAAATTGGTGCGAAGGAGAAATGTGCAGCTAATGATGGTGACTGACACGGCGTCTGAAGCTGTGAAAGAGCGCGAAAGACAGAAAGATTGGAAGGGAGTTAAGGAATGAAAGACGGCGTGAAATATTGATGAGAGAACGATTGAAGACGAGAGGGCGTGTGACAGAAATAGATGAGACAGACAACGAACATGAACATGGGCAGAGAGAGATGAAGTGAGGAGATGTCACTAACCTCATCTACGGCTTTCTTATAACTCTGGAGAAAGAGAATTGACAATAGAGAACCACGCGTGGAGGAACATTTGAGCGGATTAGACAAAATGTTAAATGAGAAAATGGTTAGTAACACAAAGCGACACACAATCTTTTCAACTTCAAGCCAAGTGAGAGTATCTACACAAGCTAGCTAAAGGTTATGGAAAGGTTATGAGTAGATTAGCTCAAATGAGACTTGATTTACTGGTGATATATTAAAGACCCCATAAAATCGCGGCATTGACCTACTTCCTGTTGAAACAGGAAGTTTGGGTGGGGCATATTGAAGCACTTGTACTTTTTATAAAACATCTCGCATATAGATGACTTAAAAGCTAAAAGACATTAACTGAAAGCCACACAACTCTATTTTTGATTTAATGGGGTATTTAATTGATGGTTAAGACATCATGTTGGTTAAGAACATCAACAACTGTGCAGATCTTAAAAAGAAGTTAGTTTAGGGTTAGATGTTTTCATTTTAGGCTTATCCTGGTCTCGGAAACCAGCCCTGTGAGAGCTGAAACATTTGCAACACAGTTATACTGTGATCTCAGAGGATTCTGGGAATTGTGTTTCTCACCGCTGGTCTGCTAGGTCTGGTCACCTCTCTGTTCTCCTCCTGGGTTTTGGGCTTGGATTCTTGGGACACTGCTGGGGATCCCTCAGGTTTACTGGAGCCTGTGGAGACAATCGAACGTCAAGACTTGGTGTACGGAGCTCTAGTTCAGGTGCTCAGACTGAGAGAATATTCCAGAGGGTCTCTCACCTCCCACACTATTTCTTTCGCTGGAGCCGGCCTGAGAGCTGGGCGTGCTAGAACTGGAAGAACTCCCACTGCTGGTTCTCTGGAGAGCCGACTCCATGGGAATCCGCAGGTCTGGGTTACTGTGCCAACGGTAGGACACAAGGAAGGAGATTGTCATTTCTTATTCACTTACTACTAGCAACCACACCACTATATGAAATAGCAAGAAGCCACATACAAACTGAACACATCTCTTGATAAAAGTAAAAGTAAAAATTGAAAGGTATAAAAAAGTAAAAAGTGCTGTTTGTGAGTAAAAATAATAATAATGATTTTAATTATTTATATTAAAACAATTAATCTTTCACTTAAGGGGCTTTAGACCTTTATCTATACATGTGTAAAATTAATTTCAAATAAAACTTAATTTAATAAAAAGTGGAAAATACCTGGCTCGGAACAGATGTGCTCCGGTTCTTGGTCCCAGTCCACCCGGTCCATTCCCTGGAGAATTTTTTCTCACCAGCGCAGGGGATATGGAAGTGGTCCTTTGGGGCACCTAAACCATGGTAACAGATGTTAAAATGTTACTTTATGTAGATGCATTAGACAAAACAGCTTTTTTAAATATAGGCATTGTTTTTTATAACCTATATCATCGCATTTAGTAATGCATTACACATTTATGAATGAATTGCACTCTGTAGCAATGGATCTCAACCGGTTTTGGTTCAAGAAACAGATTTAACCTTTGACATCAAGTTATGATCCAATACACTACTAAAATGGTTAATCGTACAATAGTAAAGAAATAGTCCTTAAAATAAAACACGGACATTAAACTGTGCTAATAATTATTTAAAGGCACAATATGCAAGATTTTTTTAATTAAAATATCCAACTAACCACTAGAAAAGTTTTATAGATTTTGCTGACTTGTGTACTTACTTACATTATCCCAAATGTTTTGAAGAATGTTTAAATCCAGAGAAATAAGCACATTTAACTAGTGACACGGACCGTGTCTATAGTGTCATTCTGTTGCCTGCCAATGACGTCATAACCCCTTGATTTTTGTTTTGTAGAAAACATGGAAACACCAAAGACGCTTTAATATGCTATGCATTTTATTAGACAGGTGACGACCGCACAGAGTAGCAGTATAACAGAGCGTTCAAATGTATCTAGTGTGATAAAACAATGCTGCTTACTTCCGCTGCTTTCCGGAAGGAGCGGAAGCGGTCGACTGTGGCATAATAAAAGCTCCGCTGCTTTCGAGCCTTGTGTCACGCTCGTTCAGCGGTCTCGTTTCGCTTCGACGGCTTCCAGCCTCACCCTGCTTCATACTACGATGTTAATAAATCTTTAATACATTAGTTCATCCATGAACATGATTTCTGCCCGAGTCCCATCGGATTGCTTTGGCTTAGTGGTGCAACGGATCACAAAACTCATGGTTCGGATCATCTTTCGGATCAGCAAAAAAAAAATAAAAAAATTTGTGAACGCTTACTTTAAGTACTTCTATACCACAGCAAAAACTACTAACTAATAAAGTTAGTAATAAAACAAGAACAATTACACAAATTACAAGCATAGATGCATACAACAAAACACAGTTACAAATAAAGTCAGTAACAGTAGCACTCAGGTACAGAAATTTAATAATTAAGTGTAAAATAACATAATAGTGCTCACTGCACAAGTTAAATACGGATTAATCTTTGATAGGGCTGTGGTGTTATTTGATTAGCAGACAGAAACAGGTATTTATTGGCTGCGGTCTCTTTAAGACCAAATGCACGGACCTAATACTTACACACATCCGTTTTTTTCCCCAGCTGTTTACATTCACTTAAGACATAACTGACTGTTTACTAGAATACTTGCCAAAATGGGTATTTTAACATAACTTTGTGTGTATGTAAAAGAGGAATCAATTCGCTGTTCACGCGGTGTCTCTCTCTCTGCGTGTGCGTGCGGCAGCGGCTGAGCACACAGAAAACAGCACGCGAGTTAAAATTGCTTGAATGTGTAAACTGGCAAGACAAAACATCTGCAAATGATAAACTTGAACTATATGATGGTTAAACTTAACAGTTAATCCGCGAATCACATGCGTGCCGAACTGTGCAGCCGGATCCGAACAGATCACTGATCAGCTACGATCCGTTGTACCCCTACTTCGGCTGTGGGGATAAAGACGACAACTCCCATGATTCCACACCCAGTCACGGCGTCATCTAACTACGCCTTTGTTTCTTTGTTTGTTTTGAATACAGACCCTCTAGTGGCACAAAATTACATATTGTGCCTTTAAATGAGATGAATGATTATGAAGAAAATAATAAAATTAATTATGGCACTTTTTGTTTCAAAAACCCCTATTTAATGTAGTATGAGTCATATTTTCTAATACTTTGTATAGCTATATTTAGAGGTTTAAGAATGAGTTTGGCTAGAATAGGCTCGACAAAGTGACAAATCAGTTTGTGCCAAAATATTGAAGAGTTTGATTGGATGCACAGCCTTTGACAAATGATATAGAAAGTGTTTTTTTAAACACTTTTTAAAACTGTCAAGCCTTTAAATTTAGTGGTCTTATCTATGCTTGATTATTTGGTCAGTTACATATTATGGTTCAAATTCAGCAATGATATTTCTCTGCTTTCTGAGACCCAATCAGAAAAGACTTAATATCCACCAGTTGAGAACCACAACTCCAAATGAATTACTATTAATGTCAACACATTTTATCCTAGATTATCACCTTTGGAGGGACATCATCTTCCTGTCTCAGCCAAGAGCTGCGGTCAAACTTGTCGTCTCGGCTGGTGATGCGAGGTGGTGGGGCCGGGGTTTCTGATGTGGGGTCAGAGTTCTGCCGAGGCATCGGAGGTCTGTGAGGTGACACACCCTCTTGGAAGGCTGAGACACCCTGAGAGGACTGATCATGCAGCGACTGGGATCCTGTCATGGAAGAGCCATGGGACTTCACAGAGACCAGGTGCGCCATCTGAAAGGAGAACTCTGAGGTCAGTGTATTTCACAACACATCTGTCTCTAAAGACAGATCAGGAGATCAGGAAGTACCTGAGGCTCTACCGGGCGGTGCATGGGAGGCGTCCGGGCCTGCTGTATGCCTCCACTGCTGAAGGACTCTGAGCGGGGAGGAAGGGAGGGATCGGAAATACGATTGGCCACTTTGTGCTGGAGAGCCGGAGAGCTCTGGCGGTTCAGCTTGGAGCGTTCCTCAACCTGACAGACAGAGACGATGTTAGTGTCCTTGCAACTCTTCACAACCAATCTGTTTCCTCTTTGCTTGAGAGTCAGAATGAACTGTGAAACATGTAAAGTGGCTAATATGTGACACTGTAGGACAGGGGTCACCAAACTCGTTTCTGGAGGGCTGGTGTACTGCAGAGTTTAGCTCCAACTTGCCTCAACACACCTGCCTGGAAGTTTCAAGTATACCTAGTAAGACCATGATTAGCTGGTTCAGGTGTGTTTGATTAGGGTTGGAGCTAAGCTCTGCAGGACAGCGGCCCTCCAGGACCGAGTCTGATGACCCCTGCAGTAGGATCTACACAAGAGTTGCACAACATACTAGTTTACTATGGTAAAAATCAAACTTCTGCTAATATTATATATATTTACATTTTAACTGTATATATTTAAAAATAGAAACAAATTATAGTTTGCCTTTATATAAGAACAGCTAATAATATGTTGATGAGACCTGTAGACTCTGTCAGCGGAAGCGGTCGACTGTGGCATAATAAAAGCTCCGCTGCTTTCGAGCCTTGTGTCACGCTCGTTCAGCGGTCTCGTTTCGCTTCGACGGCTTCCAGCCTCACCCTGCTTCATACTACGATGTTAATAAATCTTTAATACATTAGTTCATCCATGAACATGATTTCTGCCCGAGTCCCATCGGATTGCTTTGGCTTAGTGGTGCAACGGATCACAAAACTCATGGTTCGGATCATCTTTCGGATCAGCAAAAAAAAAATAAAAAAATTTGTGAACGCTTACTTTAAGTACTTCTATACCACAGCAAAAACTACTAACTAATAAAGTTAGTAATAAAACAAGAACAATTACACAAATTACAAGCATAGATGCATACAACAAAACACAGTTACAAATAAAGTCAGTAACAGTAGCACTCAGGTACAGAAATTTAATAATTAAGTGTAAAATAACATAATAGTGCTCACTGCACAAGTTAAATACGGATTAATCTTTGTTAGGGCTGTGGTGTTATTTGATTAGCAGACAGAAACAGGTATTTATTGGCTGCGGTCTCTTTAAGACCAAATGCACGGACCTAATACTTACACACATCCGTTTTTTTCCCCAGCTGTTTACATTCACTTAAGACATAACTGACTGTTTACTAGAATACTTGCCAAAATGGGTATTTTAACATAACTTTGTGTGTATGTAAAAGAGGAATCAATTCGCTGTTCACGCGGTGTCTCTCTCTCTGCGTGTGCGTGCGGCAGCGGCTGAGCACACAGAAAACAGCACGCGAGTTAAAATTGCTTGAATGTGTAAACTGGCAAGACAAAACATCTGCAAATGATAAACTTGAACTATATGATGGTTAAACTTAACAGTTAATCCGCGAATCACATGCGTGCCGAACTGTGCAGCCGGATCCGAACAGATCACTGATCAGCTACGATCCGTTGTACCCCTACTTCGGCTGTGGGGATAAAGACGACAACTCCCATGATTCCACACCCAGTCACGGCGTCATCTAACTACGCCTTTGTTTCTTTGTTTGTTTTGAATACAGACCCTCTAGTGGCACAAAATTACATATTGTGCCTTTAAATGAGATGAATGATTATGAAGAAAATAATAAAATTAATTATGGCACTTTTTGTTTCAAAAACCCCTATTTAATGTAGTATGAGTCATATTTTCTAATACTTTGTATAGCTATATTTAGAGGTTTAAGAATGAGTTTGGCTAGAATAGGCTCGACAAAGTGACAAATCAAGTTTGTGCCAAAATATTGAAGAGTTTGATTGGATGCACAGCCTTTGACAAATGATATAGAAAGTGTTTTTTTAAACACTTTTTAAAACTGTCAAGCCTTTAAATTTAGTGGTCTTATCTATGCTTGATTATTTGGTCAGTTACATATTATGGTTCAAATTCAGCAATGATATTTCTCTGCTTTCTGAGACCCAATCAGAAAAGACTTAATATCCACCAGTTGAGAACCACAACTCCAAATGAATTACTATTAATGTCAACACATTTTATCCTAGATTATCACCTTTGGAGGGACATCATCTTCCTGTCTCAGCCAAGAGCTGCGGTCAAACTTGTCGTCTCGGCTGGTGATGCGAGGTGGTGGGGCCGGGGTTTCTGATGTGGGGTCAGAGTTCTGCCGAGGCATCGGAGGTCTGTGAGGTGACACACCCTCTTGGAAGGCTGAGACACCCTGAGAGGACTGATCATGCAGCGACTGGGATCCTGTCATGGAAGAGCCATGGGACTTCACAGAGACCAGGTGCGCCATCTGAAAGGAGAACTCTGAGGTCAGTGTATTTCACAACACATCTGTCTCTAAAGACAGATCAGGAGATCAGGAAGTACCTGAGGCTCTACCGGGCGGTGCATGGGAGGCGTCCGGGCCTGCTGTATGCCTCCACTGCTGAAGGACTCTGAGCGGGGAGGAAGGGAGGGATCGGAAATACGATTGGCCACTTTGTGCTGGAGAGCCGGAGAGCTCTGGCGGTTCAGCTTGGAGCGTTCCTCAACCTGACAGACAGAGACGATGTTAGTGTCCTTGCAACTCTTCACAACCAATCTGTTTCCTCTTTGCTTGAGAGTCAGAATGAACTGTGAAACATGTAAAGTGGCTAATATGTGACACTGTAGGACAGGGGTCACCAAACTCGTTTCTGGAGGGCTGGTGTACTGCAGAGTTTAGCTCCAACTTGCCTCAACACACCTGCCTGGAAGTTTCAAGTATACCTAGTAAGACCATGATTAGCTGGTTCAGGTGTGTTTGATTAGGGTTGGAGCTAAGCTCTGCAGGACAGCGGCCCTCCAGGACCGAGTCTGATGACCCCTGCAGTAGGATCTACACAAGAGTTGCACAACATACTAGTTTACTATGGTAAAAATCAAACTTCTGCTAATATTATATATATTTACATTTTAACTGTATATATTTAAAAATAGAAACAAATTATAGTTTGCCTTTATATAAGAACAGCTAATAATATGTTGATGAGACCTGTAGACTATGTCAGTCTTATTCATCTTTAGCATTCACATAATCACCCAAGATTGAGTTTCTAAATCTTTGCAGAAATCCGCCTGTCCCAAATTAAGGAGACGGCCTCATTATGAGGCATTTTAGATATTTTTAGACCTGTTCCCTTAGCTTGACTGAAGATAATCTTTTATTCACTTCCGTAGGCCCAATCAAATGACTCAATAAGCAAAGATGAAACATACAACCAAACAACAGAAAAATAAATATCATCAGGTTAAAGACAGAAAGGAAACGTTTAGTCCATTACGTCCAGTATGTTAAAGGAGATGCTGTGAATTTTCAAATTCAAACAACAAGCCTCAATACTGTCATGCACCATTCACAAGCATTTTCAGACAAGAAAAGAATCACTTATGGTCATCCTAGAAGTCGGGTGACCAATGGGACAGAAAGACTCATTACGTCATTAGTGAGAAAACCATGTTTATTTCTTCTCTAAGAATGGAGGGATGTTTGGATCTGAAATGACACACAATCTTCAGAGCACAAGCTGTGCCTACAAGTAACACACAACCCCTTATCAACAACCTTTTTATCAATGTAATCAATGTGTCAATGTAATTTGATCAATGTCTAAAACAGTGGTTCTCAAACAGGGGGCCAGGACCCACTAGGAGGCCTCAGCAAACTTCCAAGTGGGCTGGCAGGATGAATTAAAAATAGGAAAAACAAGGTTTAGAATTATTTAAAATGGCTAAAAAAATCTATATGTGAGCATATTTCCTATTTTAATTTGTTTTTTGAAGATATAATATTTTATTGGGTAGAAACTGCTATTTGTGAATAAACAAATAATTTTAAAACTCGTATACATTTATTGGTATTAAAAATGTGTAAACATGAACATTCAGACATTGGGATTGTGGAATTTAATGATTTTAATGATTTATACTGATTTTATTTAAATATTTTGCTAATACTAGTGTCTGTAAATAAAAACTTTGAAAATTAGCAGCTTTGTCATTATGATAGAAGTATCAAAAATATCTTGGTGGGCCTTCAAATATTAATTTTACAATGGGGACCTTGGAGTCAAAAGGGTAAGAACCACTGGTCTAAAGCTTTTGTGGCCCAACACATCCAAACCTCTCTCATTTTTGCCCCACAATCCCATGCTCCTCTGTCATCAGCTTTCTGTAATAAGGAGCGATAGGTGAGATCAAAGAGAAAATGACAGAAAATTAGAACATAAGCGCAGTAGATGAAAAGACAACAGCAAGAGCGGAAGCTGTCAGAAGAAAATCCACCAAACTAACTGGGAGACAGAACCTACAGGAATACTTTCACCCAGAGAACCAGAGGAAAACAAGGCATTCCAAAAGAGATCATTCAAATGCCCCGAAAAGTTTTTGGAAAAAGGTATTTTTCCGCATTAATTCTTTGAATATGTTCCATGACCAGATTGGTAGGCGTCTAGGTCATGGCGAAAAAGGAGACGAGTCATAAGTCATGCTAGCGGAGGCAGACCTTTGAGACGTATAAGTCTCTCTCAGTATCAGCCCCTTTGCTGGAGTTTCCGGGACTGCGGCCCCGGGACTCTTGCTCAAGATGTTGCTGGACCATCCTGACCAGCTGGGATGGATCTGGCTCGCAAGACATACAGATTCTAGGAACGTTTGGCCCACTGGTTATCCTGAGCTGAGGCTCGGCCAGCTCCATCTCTCTCGAGTGGGAGGCTGCTGGGTAGGAGGGGGGCCTTGTGGGCTGATTAGAGGAGCTCTTGTCAAGAGGGAGGAGTTGGCCAACACGTTTTTCTCCAGGACTGTTAAATGAATGGTGCTTCTTGGGAGGGATTCGAGGAGAGTTACTCTGAGCTCTCTCCATCACCTGTGTTCAGATAAGCACAATAAAACCATTCAGATTATGACCCACAAAACTGAAGATGCAGGGGAGGCCACTTCAGAGCATGATAATCTATCATCATCCAGATGATTCTGAAACTAAAGGAAAAGTTATTTACAGGAAGTGAGATTCATCATTTGTGGGCACCAAACCTGAAGAATTTGATAAAATGAAGCCATTAGCCAGAGCAAATGAGATAACTGACATATGTTTACAATCAGTGACTGGAGATTCTTGACAATGAGTACTAGGGCTAGGTATCAGTACAGATTCCTGATTCAATTTGATTCCGATTCATAAGCTCTTGATTCAGTGCTAAATTTGATTAGATTCAAATTCATTTGGATTTATTTCAATTATAATAGTCATTTTGCTTACATATAAAAGACATTGTCTATCAGCTAATGCTGTAAATTATACAGCGTAATGTTCAGATTCAAACTGGTACAGTAGCTCACCTTTTTGAACGATTCATTAAAAGAACCAATTTAACAAGTCATTTGTCTCATGAATCAGGCTATACTAATATGGTGTATATTTTTGATTCACTAAAAAGAACCAAATCACTTGTTTACTGAATCTAGGTTTTGTTTCATTAAAAAGAACAAACTCATTTGTTTTGTGATTCGGGCTTTTCTAATGTGTGTTGAATCACTAAAGAACCAAATCATAGGAGATGCTTATTTCATGAATCAGCCTACACTAATGCTGTGTGTGTTTTTGATTTACTAACATGAACTGGCTCATACAAGTCATTTGTTCATGAATTGGACTATGTGAGGTGTGTTGTAGGCTTTTTGCATGCAGCCCTCAAAGAAAGACATTGCTTGCCATTATTTCTGTAGTATACTGTCTTTTAATTAACCTCACATTCAGGATTTTATGAATCAATACTGGGATCGTTTAAAGGAAGATTGTGATTAATCAGAAAATCAATACTTTCACCCAACCCTAAGTAGTAGGGATGGGCGTATCGATCCAAAGTATCGATATATCGATACTGACGCAAGTATCGAAAGTATCGATACTCAAACAAAAAATATCGATACTAAGGTGTGTTTTATTTACCAGTGATTTTGTTAATTCAACAAAAAAATTGAAAAAAGAATATGTACAATATGCATTGAATTGGACGAATAACCTTTGTTAGCGAGTAATTGTATAGGATATAACTATTTTCCTGCTCATTTGAACACGCAAATGTTGCAAGACAGAACCAGTCCATCACAGAGAGCGTTCACTCACTTCTGACAGTGCATTCAAACAGGGCTGCAAATGACAAAAAAAGTGTGATAGGTGCAGCACAGAATCCAATTCAATCCTAAAGTTTACTTTTATTGCCTTCTAGACAATAGCTGCATAATGGATGGAAATGCCATTGGATATCAGCGGGAATCACCTCTAATAATGCCTTTTGCAGTAAGTTTTTAAAATATTTAAGAGATAGATCTGTAGACTGGTAACATGCATGTACACTACCGTTTTTATTACCGTTTACCAATTTATTCTGAAAGATTAATTAAATTAGAATTTCAGAAATGACTTTAATAATGTTACAAAGATTTCTATTTCAAATGTCGTTTACTGAATTTTCTATTCATCAAAGAATCCTGAAAAAAGTATCACAGTTTCCATAAAAGCATAACTGTTTTCAACACTGCACTGATAGTAAGAAATGTTTCTCGAGCACCACATTAGAATGATGCATCATGTGACACTGAAGACCAGAGTAATGGCTGCTGAAAATTCAGCTTTGCCATCACGGGAATTAATTATTTTTTTAAATATTTCAAAATAGAAACAGTTTGAATTATGAATTGTAATAATATATATATATATATATATATATATATATATATATATATATATCCCCGGACTGCTCCAGGGGAATGTCGCCCCAAAGAAAAAGTATTAGAAATTGGTTTGGTTTAAAACCATCTTGTCAAAATGACAAAAAAAAGTGTGATAGGTGCAGCACAGAATCCAATTCAATCCTAAAGTTTACTTTTATTACCTTCTAGACAATAGCTGCATAATGGATGGAAATGCCATTGGATATCAGTGGGAATCACCTCTAATAATGCCTTTTGCAGTAAGTTTTTTTTAAATATTTAAGAGATAGATCTGTAGACTGGTAACATGCATGTACACTACCGTTTTTATTACCGTTTACCAATTTATTCTGAAAGATTAATTAAATTAAATTTCAGAAATTACTTTAATAATGTTACAAAGATTTCTATTTCAAATGTTGTTTACTGAATTTTCTATTCATCAAAGAATCCTGAAAAAAGTATCACAGTTTCCATAAAAGCATAACTGTTTTCAACACTGCACTGATAGTAAGAAATGTTTCTCGAGCACCACATTAGAATGATGCATCATGTGACACTGAAGACCAGAGTAATGGCTGCTGAAAATTCAGCTTTGCCATCACGGGAATTAATTATTTTTTTAAATATTTCAAAATAGAAACAGTTTGAATTATGAATATATATATATATATATATATATATCACATCACAATATTACTGTTGTAACACTCAAATAAATGCTTTCTTGGTGAACATGAGATTTCTTTGAAAAACATTAAAAAACCATATCTGACCCCAAACTGAATGGTAGTGTACATAGTAAATTACAGCATTATAGTGGAAAACAGGTTAAGAAAAGATTAATCAAGATTTGGCTTCAAACAGAAAACAAGACAAACGTGAGAACTTATGAATATTTACTCTCATTAATGTCTCAGTCATTCTTATTTGTCTCTGCATAGAATCTCACACATGGCCCGTGAGACGTCCTAATTCACCATTGAACAGGGCTTGTGCAGCCCAACCGCATTTGAAAGGGTGGGTGGGTGCTTTAAATATGCATACCATCCAACAGAACATTTCTCTCTCTAGAGGAAGTGAGTCATAGACTGGAGAGAATGCTTTAAACAAGGGATCGAGGCATGTGAGAGTCTGATATGCATATCTGAGAGGACAGTTACAGCTGAGAACAAAGTGCACTGCGCATTACACATATGATTAACAGAGGGTTTTAAAAACGAGTGCATGGATACACGCTCTCTTCATGCGTGTCTGCTTTAGGAAGTGTGCATATGTGATAATGTTTGCGTTTATGTTTACATGGAGAGACTGATCAAAAAACATTTTCACAGTTTTTTTCTACACCAATATTCACCCTTTTCTAATTGAAATAATCAGTTTCTCATGGCAAATTACTGTTCATCAACAATGATACTGTTATAATTATTATTTGGATGTTTCAGAAGAGAAAATGCTGCAAATATTTATATATATACTGTGTATATATATAAATATATATCAGTTATTGAATGCTAGAATATTGAAATAACTGGTATGTCAAAAAAAAAAAAATACAGTGAAAAATAGACTGATCTCTAAATAGATGTGCCATTTATTAACAGAAAGTACATCTTGTCTCCCTCTCTGTAGTGGTGAATCAGTGGGAGTCTGTTAGCATGGAGTGTGAGTGTGTGAACCCGCCACGTCACTTCATTTCTTCTCTTCCTGTTCATATAAATTAAGTTGTCATTTCTGGCATGGTTTAGCTTCCCTATCTTTTTTTGCACAGTGAATTATAGGTTAGTTTGTAGTTATAGACCAATATATAACAGGCAGGTTGCACAATTATGTACATTTTCAGTCCTGAAATAACTCTAACCATCAACTTCTTGTGAAAAAAAAAAAACAGTAGCCATGTATGATTGTGGATGTGCGCTTATGTGTACTTATGTACCTGCTCCCTCTCAGCATGCCTCCTCTCCTCCTCTCTCCGGAGCTGCTCCATCTCCTCATAACGCCTCCTCTGCTCTCTCTCCTGCTGTTTCCGGAGCTCTCTCTCCCGTCGCTGTTGCTGTGAGATTACAAACACATGTTCTCATTAACGAACCTCCCATTCTAACAAATAAATCTCAATTGCTGACCCCAACTATCAGCCCAGCTTCACACTAGCACATGTAGTTCCTTCCTATACCACTCAAGTTTAAAAGACAATGCATTTCGAGCGGGTAGCCATTCTGAATGCCGTTTCCTCAGCAGGGGCTGCTGACAGGAGCTGTGCTGAAATGAGGCGGCCTGACAGTGGACCAGCGGGAGATAGATGTGTTGAATGAGAGGCTGACGCCCAGTCGGGCCCCCTGATTCATCCCCACAGGTTTTCTGCTCCCTCCCCTACTGAGAAAACCCTACATCACATAACTCAGGAATATCTCTACTGGTTCAATTATCATCGTCTTTCTTTGTCTCCCATTTGAAGAGTTCCCAAGATGTTGGGTAACCTTCCTGTGGACTGATCATAGCTCAGAGTCTCCCATCTCATGAGCCATTACACAGACAAAATAGAGTACAGGAAGTGTGTGTTTGAGTGTGACCGGAATAATAGCAAAGCATATTGTCTGTTTGTTCTGATAGGGTTACAAGGAAAAACAATGCTAAATGCAAACAATAAAATGCAACTAAGCATATAATCATGCATGAAAGCAGAAGAAAATGCTTCCCATTTCTTTTGTTGTTGATGCCAGAGGCTGTGTGAGATTTTGACTCAAATTCATGTGTTAATTGGTAATATGGTGAATACTAATAACTTTTTTGATCCATATGTCTGCTGTTGTTGTTTTTGTTAATAATTTGGCATAGCGTTTATGATAATATTAATACCTTTCAATGTATTTTTTGATTCAGAACAACTTTGGTTCTTTGTTGGGTAATAACTTGATATTTAATGGGTCTTAAAGCAACCTCAGATGCTGGAATAAGAATCAAATCAAATCAAATGTGCTTAAATATATAGCTTTAAAGATATTAAAATAAAATGTGCTTTAAATAATATAAATATAAATGAATAAAATATTATAAACAATATATTTAGATTAAATATTTAGCTTTAAATATATTAAAATAAAATGAAAAGTGCTTTAAATAATATAACATGAAATAATTCAAACTATATCAATACAACATTATAAATATATTTAGATTACATATTTAGCTTTAAAGATATTAATACACCTCACTAATGCTGAAGATTTCAGAAATATGGCTGCACACCCACAGTCTTTAAACTGTTTCTTTTCATACCTCCTCTAGTCGCCTCCTTTGCTCCTTCTGTTCCTCGATGCGTTTCTGCCTCTCTGCCAGTAGTTGGCGCTTGTGTTCCTCATTCTGTTGCTGTTCTAGCTGTTGTCTCCTCAGGGCTTCGGAGCGCTCCTTATTGGCCAACTGCAGACGCAGGAAGTCCCGCCTCAGGGTCGATTCCCCAGGGATGTTTATGATGGAGCTGTAAGGAAGACGTTAAATCATCTTTAAGTCAATCAGGTCTCCACAATACCCACATGCTTGTGTGTGTGAGCGGAAAAAAGTCTATGTACCTCGGCTCTCCTATGTCTCGCTCTTCCTCCTCCTCTTCACTTCCACTGTACTCATATTCCGTCTCGTCTGAAAAAAAAAAAACACGGATAATCACACCGCTGCAAGATGTAGGTTTTTAAGAATAAAACTTTTAAGATTAAGGACAGATTCAGATAAGGAATATTGTGACAAAGCAACATGAAAACCATTGTTAAAAATTAGCATGAAAAGTATTTTTTTAAAGTATACTTTTAATATTATTAAAAGTAAACTTTTTTTGAAAGTTATTAAATAGTTGTCAACTCACAAAAAATTATATTAAATACATAAATTAAAAAACAAATAAATTAATATTTGCATGAAAAGTATTTTTAAGTATATTTTTTGAAAGCTATATTATAGTTGTCAACTCTCACTAAAAATATTGTTGAATAAATAAATAAATAAAATGAATATTAATATAATAATTAAATAATATAATAAGTAAATAATGAAATTACAATTCTTATCATTCACAAAATATAGGGCCGTATCGACAGATTTCATTAATCAGTTCAATTCTGATTCACAAACTCTTGCTTCAGTTTGATTTCAATCTCGATATTGATTCATTTGGTTATATACCAAGTACAGTACATGTCAATATTTCTTAAAGAAAAAAATATCTAACTAAAGCTGTAAACTATATAGGCAACCCTGAGTTGGTTCATTATTGTAATATTAAAGGTTAAAATTAAAAGTCCAAACTATTCAATTAAATTTCAATTTTTTCTTCTTTTTTTTATTTTTTAGATTATTGTGATTAATCGGATGGCAGGCATGCTACAAATAATGTTTAGTGAAGTTTTGTTCACACATCAACAGAAAACAGCATAGACTAAAAAAAAAAATCAAGCTTGGGATTTAAGAATCAATATTGGCTCATCAAAATGAAGAAGATTAAAATCGAGTAATCGATATTATCAACTCAGCCCAAACAGAAACCAAGTAAATTCACCCCTCTCTCCTCTCTTCTTCTTGGTCCGGTCAATGTGGTCTTTGAGCTGGATTCGGACCTGTCTCTCGTTGGGAAGGTCTTTGATGAAGGGATGCTTGACGAGCTGCTCAGTACTGGGTCTCTGGTTGTGATTCTTCACTAAACAGCTCTCAATGAATGACTGGAACTTTTTAGACCTACAGAGAACAACAAACCGATCAGTTTTGACTCTCAGGTCCTGTTCATTACCATCAGTTGTAGATTTGAAGTGCACATTCAATATGATGAGAGGTTTGCCTCACCACTTCTTGGACTTGAGACGGGGCGCTGGGTTTCTGGGTATGAGGAAAAGTGCTCGCATGGGATGCATATCGCACAGCGCTGAGAAAACAGACAGGTGATTGTGTTTAGCAATCACTGTGTTCATATAAAATACATTATCATGTACTGCATTGTGCTGGACTTACGAGGGGCTCCTTCTGCCATTTCAATAGCTGTAATTCCCAGCGACCACAGATCACTCTGTAACAAAACGGTGCTGTTAGGATCTCTGCCTGAAGCCAAACAAGACCCTCACACAAAAGCAATCAGGTGTTGTAAGAAGAAAGTGAGCGTAATTAAGAATCGCTTGAAATACCTTGAAGTCATATGTGGCTTCTGGGTTCTCATCACAAGCTATGACCTCTGGAGCCATCCAATATGGCGTGCCAATAAAAGTGTTCCTCCTACCGACGGTACGGTCCAACTGTGCACTCACACCAAAATCAACTGTTGAAAACACACGCAATCACACACACACCAGGAAGATTTGGCCTTAATGTGTCTGCGTGCAGTAACGAGAGGAGAGGTCTTTGATGAAGTGCATGCTGCCATCTGCCTCTGTGCCACTCTTCCCTCGTCACCGCAGGCAGTTGTTGTCATAGCAACCAGCCTGAACTGTCTCCCAAACTCAAACAACTCGATGACAAGCCCTAATAACTCCAGAGGAGGGTCACAGGCTCCTCAAGACAGACAGAATCAACCAATATAAACACACACATACATACTCAATATGAAAAAAAACCTGTTTCTAGATATAAGACACTACCAAAAATTCTAGTTACGTTATCATCATTGTTACTTTTAGTTAGTTAAACCTCAACACTGATTCATACACATTTACGGAAGCTTCTTCTGAAATAAGTGTGTCATAATGTACATTGTGTCAGTGTGATAGCTGTCCGGGGTGTGAACTCACCTAGTTTGACTTCCGCATTTTCTGTGAGCAAAACGTTCTGACCTTTGATATCACGATGAATGACCTTATGTTGATGCAAGTGGGTCAGACCCTATCAAAACCAGATGAATAGGTTAGACTCAACTGGAGAAGGTCAAATGAGGAAACACTCTTCAAAAATAACACTTCTGTAAGCTAATAATGTCTTCTAGTGGCCCACACTACACAGATACTCACCCTGAGGATCTCTCTGCAGATGTAGGCTGTCCACTCCTCCTTCAGAGAGTTTCCTTTGGTGTTCTTTATCAGGTCTGTCACTGAACCAGCACCACAAAACTCCATCACCAACTACAGACACAACACGTCACCAATATTAGGACAAAACCAAACAACCCAATGATAAACAATCTAATTTAGTGGATAACTAGGCTACACTTATATACACATATGTATGTATTTATGTGTGTGTATATATATATATATATATATATATATATATATATATATATATATTATATATTTACACACACACATACATAAACATACATATGTAAAAATACTGCCGTTCAAAAGTTTGGGATCATTAAGATTTTTAAAGTGTTTTAAAGAAGTTTTTATGTTCATCAGGGCTGCATTTATTGTTAATGAAGATAGCATATTAAAATGCCTTGAGCATAAAAAACTTATTTAAAAAACATTACAAATCTTATATATATATATATATATATATATATATATACACACACACATACATACACGCACACACATATGTACATACATACACACTGAATTTAAATAATATAGATTATTAGATTAAAAGAATATAGATTTATTATATAATATTATTTATTATCCTCAAATTCAATTTAAAGACCTAAAACAAGGGTGTGAAATGCCATTGAGAAATTCAATACAGCCCTCGGGATGATTTGAGCAAAATTAGTATTTAAAAAAATTACAATTTTAAATAAAAAAATAAAATATCCATATATCTACAAATGTTCTATTTTTTTAGGTACAGTAGCTCACATTTTTAAAGTGGCAGAACCTGTATTTTAATTAGATGCACTCACACATACATGCAAATTCACGCTTTCAGCTGAAACTAGATCTGTGAATGACAACTTCATTTTCCCACTTTGAAAAAGTTTTGAAGTTAAAATGACAAGATAGAAGGTTACAAGAAAAAGTATTAGTGGTTAAAAAAAGGGAATTTCATAGTTGTTCCAGAGAAAAGTCTCCAGATAACAATAAAAATATAAAACAAGCCATGCAGTTTCTTTTTTTCCCCTTAGTCTTACCTTTGCTTTAATATAGAGTTTTAGTAAGGGCCAGTGACATGCAAACTTCTAAACCCAGTTGTGTTTTTACTTCTTTGGTTTTACCTTTTTTCTCAAGACACTCATAAAAAGAGTCCTATTCTCATTAGGAGCCACAGGGGCACAATAAAAGTCAATAAATGTAATTCATGAGCATAATATGATTGTTTCTCTGAAACGCCGATTGGTCTTGAATGCTCTCTTGAGCTGGCCCTCAGATGGGTCTAAATATGTTTGGCCTCTGGGACTCTCCAAAGTCACAACTGCTGAGTTGGCAACACTGTTTTTCCTCTAAGGGAAATCCTTCTTTACAAAGACGCCCAAAGGAGGGTGGTGGTGCTGACCACATGCTCCAGTGCAAGTAAATGTCTTCAGTGTGTCACTTATCTTTATGTTGCTGGGTAAAGACAGCGGCAAAGCTCACCACAGAGGAAATGAGGCTGGCAGTTTACGTTCAATGCATAGAGATGAAAACAACAAGGCCTAGGCACCTCTGTGCGAAGTGTGAACTTTTTTTTTCTCATTGAATACCAGAAAGACCTTAAATTATTAAAGAAAATAGGCCTCAAATTATTATGTTATGCTACAGTCAAACTTAAGTTTCATGTGCCGGCAAATCGGTGTTTGCGATATAACATAAAAATGTTTAAATAATAATAATATATAGTAAAATGTTGTCATGCTACACTACCTCTAATTGAAAAAAGCTACATTGTTCTGAAAACAGCTAAACTACAAGCATACAATTTAAAAAGCAGTTAATTAAGAAACATCACTACTTTTAACTCCCTAATAGTGTATTGTACTACACACTAGGGCTGGGCAATATAGCTAAAAAATTTATATAATGTTTCATATCGTTCGGTATCAATAATTATTGACATTTTTTATAACTTTTTTTAAAACAAAACGCAAGTGGTTTAAATTGAACCACTGTATTTATAATTAACAATTTATTGAGACAACAAATATTTTTTGTTTTAACAAACACAATAAAAATTAAACAAATATCTAATTTCTAATGTTTTATATGCAGATTAAATAGGTATTTATTGTATAGATCTAATTGTCTCCCGAGGCCACACGAGGGCGCAATGAGCAAAATAATGCAGCGCATTTAAATTGTCAACACAAGGAAGTAACTCTATAAAAACATGCATTACGTCTAAATTAACTCATAAAAATCAAATATAATTTCGTAAATTGCATAAACAATTATGAACAAAACAGCATCATGTATTTATGCATTGCTTAATCCAAAGAGCCGAAGCGCCATTCACACAGACTGCATTTAAAAACATATGAGACGCAGTGAAAAGGAATAAACCTCCACAAATTCGTGACGTGTTTTTTAAAAGTTTAAACTGTTTTAACTTTGCATGGCTTTCTATACATCTCTTGTGTGAGATGCGAGTGCAGCAGTTATATTTGTCCGTCTAAAAAATGCGCTGAATATGCGCTCTGTGTGAATTGCTTGGTTTCGGTTTTAACCTGATCAAGATCTTCTCCGCATTGAGATTCTATATTTCTCTAATATTTTGAATGAATAACGCAGCAGCGGCACATCTCGTGGGCTAGACTAACAAAACATTAAAACGCAACAACGTCACTTACATCATTATCACCGCGTCTCGCGCGCCACTGATGACGCTCCCTGACGCACACATAACTTTCAAATGCAAATGTATATTTTAAATTCGACTAATATTCATTTTTTTATTCACAATCTCCTCATCACAGGCAGGCACAGCACTCATTTCAGCATGAGTTCGTGTTTGTGTGTGCTGTCTGCGTCACTCATAGTACGTGCCTATATCATGCGCTATATCTAATATTTTTTTCTATCGATATCGAAGAAGGTGTACCGTCGATAAATATCGATACCGTTTTATC